CTGGCGGGTCACACACATACCCAACCAGCAAGCACTCAGACAGGCATGCAACCCAGCAGGCACACACACACACACAACCGGCAAGCACTCAGACAGGCATGCAAACCAGCAGGCACGCACACACACAGACTTGGGACCACAGCAGAATGCGGGAATCACAACAAGGCATTCATTCCATTGACAAATCCCAGAAATCAGCAGTGTTCTCAGTCTGTGTTTTGGGCGGGTCATTACAGAAGTTAGTATTTTCGTTCTCTAGGCATATTGGGATAACGATAGAAGTGGTCATATTCTCGGAAAATGAAATTATTCTTTTCTGAAAATCGCATTTGGCGACAAGTGCCCACTCAAACTCAGAGATATGGAAACCAAGAACACAGTTCAGATACAAGATCGCTTCAAATGGCTATGGCGCATCAGCGCCTGTACAACTCCCTATTCCTCACTGCGCCCCACTATGTTGTTCACATGCCCTCGATATAGAATCACCCTATATGCCACACGCATCACACTGTACACACACGCACACATACACACTACACTCTTCTATCAGCTATGGCGGCTATGGCCGCTACTACCTCTATCGCTATGGCTATAAGCTCTCCGAGTCCTTCTTGCCCACTTCGTCTTCGGGCTCACTGCAGACCACCTCGCACAAGTCGCTGTGGCAGCGCTTCCGCATGGCTTACGCAGGAAAATGAATGAATGGCTGGGTGCTGCCTCTTGATTTATACTTTTGTAGCTCGTTGGTCTGCCCCTTTCCCATGCCCCTGGTGCACACAGTCCCACACGGTACTTGCTTGACTAGACTGAGACTGACTGGGACCGGGTACCACTGACTCAGCACTGGTGGCCCACTTGCCTCGGTCTACTGTGGGCAGTACCCGAAAGGCCTTTTTCGGACCTTCCGAAAGACCATGGACTTGGCCTTTCGGTACTGTAGCAGCTACGACCTTGACCCTTCGGAGGAGCTGCAGCTACGACTTCTAGAACTCACTAAGACTCCTATCCGACAGTTCTACAGATCGAACCCCTATAACCTACAGACCTACGACAACCTACCAACTGTGGGGAAAGACACAGGTCGTGGGTTCAACTCCTGGGGTCAACACAAATACTGTACACAGGTAGGGTAAGGACTAGGGATCGAGCCTTGGGATCTGCATCGGCTACTGCATAGGTGGAATCTGTTTCAAAGGAGGATGCTTACTTAGTAGACCCATGAGCTGTTGAAGTTCAGACCTGTATTCTGGTCCGGACCTCATTACACTTCTGAATTAGAAAGATAACAAAACTCGCACATGGGCACACACACTCATGTACTTAGGCACACTCACTCACTCGTAAGCGTAATAATGCATACTTTTGTGTTCTAGTGGTAGATTCCTTCAGTTTGCTCATCCTATCGATGGAAGTGGGAGGAGTAAGCCGCGTGATTGGCTCATACAATTCATACGCACACATACACACACATGCCTGTATATTTTCCATGTTTAGTGCTAGATTCATTCGACTTTGATAATAATATTAGTGGAGGCAACCACGCGTTAGGAGACTTACCTGTTTCTTGCTTTTTTTTTCTCGTCACTGTCGTCGCCAGCTGACGTAGCTTGGAGATGTCACGAAAGCCCTGTAAGGAGATTACTCGAGGCTTGATCGTCGTTGCAAGTCTTCCGCCGTTCGCCAAAAAACGACTCGCTCGTCCCTCGCAACTTGGAGATCACTCAAGGTATGGTCAGAGTGCCCTTCGTATCGTTCTCTAGGCATATTGGGATAACGATAGAAGTGGTCATATTCTCGGAAACTGAAGTTATTCTTTTCTGAAAATCGCATTTCCATTCTATCTTGCAAAATTTTTTTGAAACCGAATCTTGCGAAGCCTACCAATATTGCGTTAGGCATATTCGGAGGTTGCTATATTCTCAGAAACACGATTTCGTTCTTTTCTGAAAATCGCATCTTTACTCCTTTTGGCAAATTTTTTTTTTCAAGATCGCAGTTTGTAAAAGCCGAACTTTTGCAGCACCTAGCCTAGATCTCGTTCATAATACTCTTCTGACATATCCTACTCATCATAAATCGACAGATATATACAAAAAAAAAAGAAAAAAAAAGGAAGTAGTCCTCTTTTTATTTTTTATTTTTTTATTTTATCTGTTGATTAGGGCCGGAGGAAAGTATTGTTGGGTTGGTTACCTACCTACGTTTTCCCTCCCACCCACCCCTTGCATGCATCCCGGTTCGGTACAGTGCCACGTCAGCAGCGCCACGTGATAGTGCCAGATCAGCAGTGCCACGTCAGCAGTGCCACGTCACAGTGCCAGGTCACAATGCCACGTCATAGTGCCACGTCAGCAGTGCCACGTCAGACACAGTGCCACGTAAGCAGTGCCACATCAGCAGTGCCACGTCAAACACAGTGCCATGTCAGACACAGTGCCACGTCAGACACAGTGCCACGTAAGCAGTGCCACATCAGCAGTGCCACGTCAAACAGTGCCACATCAGCAGTGCAACGTCAGACACAGTGCCACGTCAGACAAAGTGCCACGCTAGCAGTGCCACGTCAGCAACATGACGGGCCTGCCAGGCCAACTGCCCAACGAGTCCCTTGCAGCCTACAAGCAGCGGGTCCAGGCTCAGATAGAGGCTGAGGAACAACGGCAGCTGGCAGCCGAGGCTGCCCCCGTACAGGCTGAAGAGGCAGCAGCAGCAGAGCAACTGCAGTTACAGGCCGATGCAGACGCAGATGCCCAGGCTCGCCGCAAGGAAGCCCAGGATCTGCTGCAGCGGCATAAAGCCAACAGCATCGACAGACTCAAGTTCTGGGATTTTGAACCGAACGGCGATGAGGCAACACCGGAAGAAAAGAACAAGGAGTTTCTCTCCAAACTCGTGACAAGGTTGTTGTACGCTTGCAACTACCAACGGTCAGAGTTGGAGAGACAGTACCAGGACCTGACGCAACAGCATCAGGAGTTGGCACAGCTCCGCCGTACGGTGCAGAGCCACGAGGATGCAACCCGGGCACTCAATGCCCGATTGCTGGACCTGGAACAAGCTGTACCAGGACCAGCTGCTGGGGCTTCCAGCAGTGCACCCTCTAGCCGCCAACAGGAGGATCGCGTTGACCACGTAGTGGCAATGCTCGGCGACATCAGCACTTTCGCTGCGCCGACCACCACCATCAGCAATCAGTTGCATACATTGAAGACCGAGGTCCAGAAGCTGCAGTCGACGAACGCGGACGACAATCCGAAGATGTACAAGATGCCAACTTTCAACCTGGAGAGGTTCGACGACTACACGCAGCAGGATCCCGTCCTCTGGTGGGAAGTATTCACCAGGCAACTCAGGATTCTGCTCGTAGACAAGCATGTGTACATCGGCGCCCTGTTCCTGAACTCAAAGGGCGGATGCCAGACCTGGTTGAGCCACCTGGCAACCTCCCACGACGTCGACGTACCAGACTTGAAGGACAAAATCACATGGGAGAAACTGACACGGCTGTGGAAGAAGCGGTTCATCGTTGACGACGCGCCAACACTCGCCATCAACCGACTGTTCACCATGTCACAGGGCAACACAGCAACACGGGACTGGCTCACGGAGTGGCAGAAGATTGCGGCCGTGCCCAATCTGAACTTACCATTCGAGCATCTACGCCGTGAGTTCTACAACAGGTCCTGTGCTGCATTGAGCCAGGCTCTTGGTGATCGCGAGCAGTACTCCACTTTCCCCGAGATTATCGACAAGGCGAGAGAGATCATCAAGACCAACAGGTCAGCTGCACACGAGAAAGCARCATGGCAGCCGACCTATGTGGAGAAGGTACGAACTGGTCCGCGACAGCAGCACTTCGCTGCAGTCCAGCAGAACAGTGGAGATAACCCATCAGCCACTCCAGCATCAAGTGACGGAGATCAGGTGGCTGTTGTCCAGCCGCGAAGCAACAACAAGTCCTGCAACAATGGGAAGGCGAAATCCGCATCGCAGGCCGGAAATGGACAGCCAGTACAAGTTCCATGGGTCAAGTTTGGCTTGACCGAGGCGGAGTACAAGGTCCGGGACCGCTACGGCAACTGCTACAGGTGCAACAGCACCAAGCACAAGGCCTCCCTATGCCAAGATCTGGGCAAGGAGGATGTGCGACCCCGCCTCAGCTCGGGAAACTGAGCTCCGCGGAAGGTGAGGCGACTCCACGTTCTACTCCACCAGATTCGGCCGCCTTGCTAACGGCCTCCTGCACATCTGGGGAGAACGCGAATGTCGCAAGTCCTCGGTACACTTACTAGGACTATGCTGTCCACTTGGTTCCACCGCAGGACCAACCGCTCCACGTGCAACAATCCATCGCATGCACGGTTTCATCACCATCGGCAACCGATTCGGCACCTTCGCCGCAATCTATCGCCGGGGATTCGACGTCATGGTCAAGACTTGAAGAGCTCGACCCATTGACGTTCACGGACTTCCAATGGATGCCCGTTCCCTCGACCGGACGATTGCCAAAACCGCATTGCAACGTGCTTATGGCACAATTGCGGGATTACTTGCACAGTGCAGTACCAGCTCCGTTGATGGACGCCGGAGTAGAGGTTGTCGACCTTCACGCTTACATTGCAAAGATCGACCGCGAGTTCAAGACGCAACGGTACGACGACATCGACGCACCATTGCTATACGCACGCATTCAGATCGGAGAGGCGACCTGCAACACCTTGGTCGATTGCAGAGCATCTCGCAATTACATCAGCCAGCTCGCGCTCAACTTCATCAACGTGGCGAGCCTTGTACGTTTGTTGCATATTGTAACGTGCAGACCAGAACAAGAACCGACCTTTCAATACAAAGTACAAGATAACACAGCGGAAGACTTAGATACCAGTGATCCGAACAATCAATGTTGCAATGTAGCCCTGAACATACATCATCATCATTGTTGCACAGTGTGAATGGGGCTTGTCGCGTCACACAGGAAGACAACACCAGCCCATACCATACACAGACGAGGAGGAAGGG